CCCCGCCCCGGGCCTACACCGCCGGGGTGCCGGCTGAGGTGGGGTCACGCCCACCGGTCCCGCGGCGGCTCCGTTCAACCCGCCGGGGGCCCCGGCCATCCCGGGGGAGCCGACCTCGGGACCCGACCTGAGAAAGCCGCGCCTTCGCCAGATCCCGAGCAGCCGGAGCAGCCGGGGCTGATAACCGACCAGCAGAGACTCGATCAGGGAATCGCCTAAAATGTCCCAAGCTGACTGCGAAAAAATCGCTTCAACCACAGGGAAAAACCCCTCAATTCTGCCATACTCACACAATCGCTGAAAGTCAGCATACGACACATCAATCCCCATCTGATCATGCACTGCACGCCATATCTCCAGAACCAGGCCCTCCGTAAGAGAAAGCCCAAAACCATCCATAGCCACAGGCTAGACAGTACCCTGTAACACACGTGCAAGACACGTCGGGTCACCTGAAGATCAATAGATCACGCGGACACAGGTTGAGGTGTGCTAAAGAAAGAGCAGAGTTTATTTTTCCTCCCAGGATTTATTGGCTTCTTACCATGGCCAGAGATTGGATGGTCAGGATAACACTTTCTCACTGCACTGGCCATGAGAAATGCCCATCACAAGATGTGTAACAGAAAGAATGTACACATATCTATGTTTACAGTTACTGTCCTGGGAAAGTCCTCAGAAAACTATGTTAGCAAGCTCAGAAGCTGAGTTTTCAGGGCGACAGAGGCCTTGTTACTTGTTACTTGTTACTAGCTAGCAGCTAGCCTGGTAAGTTCCCATGCAAAGACATCTTAAGAATGAAAAGTTCATTAATATAACAAACTGTTCTTGGGGAGAAAAACAAGTGCACCTGTAGTATCAAGGGATCTGTTCCATGGGAATCAGTAGAAAAATCCTGTAAACATTGTTAGAGAGAAGAGTTTTGACTGACGTGTACACTCATTACCAACCAGTGAATTGAGTTCCTGACCAACTGGAATTAAACACAATGCCTTCTGATAACCATGTAAATATAAGCTGTGTGCAACAAAGATGGGGCTATGATGGAAGAAGAAACAGGTGCCATTATCAGTCTATAAATTCTCATTCACCTTTTTCATTCCTATTGCACTTCAACACTCCAGTGCTTTGATTTCCATGGTGTCAGTGGTCTGTGGTGGGAATCTGCATGATACATAACTATTCTGTCCTGTGACTAGCCTGTAGGTGGGTCCCTGGATTTGGGTAGCTTTCAGCTTCTCTCCAGACCCATCACAGGTGCTGGAGGTGTTGGTGCCTTTTCCCATACTGTAATGCACAGGTGCAGGATTGCTGTTAACACAGTGGTAGGCCCATTTTTAAGCTGGATGCTCATTTCTTTTGGCTTATGGGGAATTTAAGAACATCAGGTGTGCAATAATAAGGGTCACATTTCCTTCCTTGGCTGACCCCCTGAAATGTCACAATGTTGCCTAAGTGATCGGCTGCCCTGCACACCTTGAAAATTTCTATCAGTGACTGCCTGCTGGTCCTGTTCAGTTACGTACAGAGCACACAAGCAAGTTTTTAATTGTTTTACTTGCAGCAGGGATTGGAGAACTCAACTTCTTTCTGAAATCTTGAACTGAGTTACATATTGTAAAGTTTCATCTGTGTGACAAGGTGATAAAACAAGTCAAGAGTGCTGCTGGGAGAATGTGGGGAGCTGCTTTAATGCCAAACTAGGATCTAAATTTAAGGTCACCCCTGTTCTTAGCTCCAGAGTCCTCTCCTATTCCACATTTTTCAATGAAATAAACACCTACAAAACCAGTGCTTTCAGCACCATTCACATGAATTATCTTTCCATTAATCAACCACACACTGCACTCTACAGAATCCAATTTAGTTACAAGCTGTTACAGAACAGAAGGAGGAAATGTAGTGGTAACCAGGGGTAGCAAATGGGGATTTGGCACATAACTGACCAGTTTTTATTTTTCACAGGTGGAGATTCACTGCTGCCTCTCCTTCTGTTTTCCTTATTGTGGAATGCAGAAGCTCCAAGTCAGCTTCTTGGTCAGGGTGTGTTTACTTCTGTTCAGCTGTACCAGAGGAGAGCAGTGATCTGCTGCTGAGGGGCAGCTGGCTTTAGCACAGCATTCCCATTACAGCAGATGCACAAAACAACTGCTGAAGACTGTGCTGGGGCCAGCACCATAGAATGCCCCTTAGCACCAGCCCAGATGCTGCTCCAAGAGAACACGGGGGGCCCTGAAAGTGTAGGGCTATATGGAGGGCCAGGTACCTCTTCCTAGAGTGGTACTGTGGAGGTTGAGGTTTGACTGAGGTGCAGGACTCAGGTACAGAGCTTACAGGTGCAGAAGCTATGGGAGAAGGCAGCACACCACATAGCACCAGGGAGGATGATCAGGAAGGCAACAGGATCCCTTCAAGGAGGTGCCTGTGCAGAGGTAAGTGCTGGAGCCCTCTGCAGCGGTGATGGGTGCAGGACTCTGGCTGAGTGAACAGTACTTTTGTTCAGGCATCACTGCCAGTCAGCCGTGCTGTGCACACCCACCCAGAGAACCGTGCCAGGCCATTGACTTCTCAGGAACCAAGGTTCCCAGACCATAACTTATCAGGACCTAACAGAACCATCCTGAGCAGGACTAGCCAATACCAAAACTGCTGTGGCTGTACTCCTGCGCCAAGGCAGGTTAACTACAAATCAACCACATTACACTATAGACAACTGTAGCCCCACTCTGAGGCCATCGAGCTTTCCTGTACAGCAATGGGCTGTAGTTTTTTAATTACATTACTATTTAATTATCATTCAATAATTGTTTAATTATAATTTTATAATGAGTTAATCATCAACAAACCCCTGTAACTCCACAGTGATGTCTTATTTTAGGAATTTATCTGCAACAGCTGCTTAAGAGGTAGGACAGT